TCTAATCTACGCTCCACAGAAGCACTGCCAAGATGTCCATTATGCCATGTGAAAAACGGGCCTCTATTAAGGAAATCAATAAGATTATTAATATCAAACCAAGCTTTAAAGTCCTCCATATGGATTCTATTGGGGGAATGGGCGCCCTTGTGCTCATGCGCACCAACTATGGCGTTGAAATCACCAATTAAACATCAAGGTAAGGAATGATTATTAAGAATGGCTTAGACATCCAAGGAAAAAGTTTTAGAATACATGGAGTAAGGTTCCAAGAGCTTATGGATCTGACTCTCTGCACATCTTCAAGACAAGAAAATGAGAGCTCGTAGAATCCTTTTCCAATGGAAGTAATGCCCCATTTATTGATGCTGGACCACTAAGTCGCAAGCTTGGCACAAACCAAAGCAACCGTAAGAGGTGTGGAACTCTTAGGCCAGAGGATTCGACCATGAAGGTTGTGTTTGCACGCCTGAAGACCAAGCTGGTATTCTTCCTCAGAAATAGTGATTGAAATTCTATCTCTCTTAATACATGGAACAAGAAACTGACTCTGGGGTAGGGATGGCAATTAAATCCATTAAGACAAAATACATCAAATTCATCCACCACATAAAAAGTAAGTTATGGAAATACAGTAAACCGAGAATTTTTAAAAATTCCAGTATATCAAGTTTTTTGCAGAAATACAGTAAATCGATTTTTTTTGCCAGAAATATAGAAAATTGAGTTATTTTTACCGAAATACAGTAAATCAATATTTTTTTATGGAAATGCAAAAAAATGAGTTTTTGTCAGAAATAAAGTAAATCAAGTTTTTTGCATAAATATAGTAAATCGAGTTTTTCTTACGGAAATACAGTAAATCAAGTTTTTTACGGAAACACAATAAATTGAGTTTTTTTACATAAGTACAGTAATCGAGTATTTTTACAAAAATTCAGTAAATCGAGTTTTTTTTATGAAAATACAATAAATCGAGTTTTTGGGGAAAATACAGTAAATCAGTTTTTTTACAGAAATACAGTAAATCGAGTTTTTTTTATGGAAACTATAAATCGAGAATTTTTAATAAAATACAATAAATCAAGTATTTTGTATAAATACAATAAATCGAGTTTTTCCAGAAATACAGAAAATCGAGTTTTTTTATGGAAATATAGTAAATCAATATTTTTAATAGAAATACAGTAAACTGAGTTTTTGTTGGAAATAAAGTAAATTGAGTTTTTAGCTGAAATACAATAAATCGATATTTTTACGAAAATTATGTAATTCAAGTTTTAGTGAAAATACAGTAAATCGAGTTTTTACGAAAATGAAGTAAATCGAGTTTTTTAAGAAAATACAATAAATTGAGTTTTTTGCGAAAATACTGTAAATCAAGTTTTTTTTACAGAAATACAATAAATCAATATTTTTTTTACCGGAATACAATGAATCGAGTTTTTGCAAAAATACAGTAAATTAACTTTTTTTTTGGAAATACAGTAAATTGAATTTTTCTGAAAATACAACAAATTGAGCTTTTCTGGGAATATAGTAAATCGAGTTTTTTTACAAAAATACAATAAATCGATTTTTTTGCGAAAATACAGTAAATTGAGTTTTTTGCGGAAATACGGTAAATCGAGATTTTTACAAAAATTCAATAAATCAATATTTTTACCAAAATATAGTAAATTGAGTTTATGCGAAAATACAGTAAATCAAGTTTTTTTACGAAAATACAGTAAGTCAAGTTTTTTTCCAGAACTACATTAAATCGAATTTTTTTTACGAAAATACGGTAAAACTAGTTTTTAGAGTTTTTTTAATGGAAATATAGTAAATCAATATTTTTAATAGAAATTCAGTAAACTGAGTTTTTGTTGGAAATAAAGTAAATTGAGTTTTTAGCTGAAATACAATAAATCGATATTTTTACGAAAATTATGTAATTCAAGTTTTAGTGAAAATACAGTAAATCGAGTTTTTTAAGAAAATACAATAAATTGAGTTTTTTGCGAAAATACTGTAAATCGAGTTTTTTTTACAGAAATACAATAAATCAATTTTTTTTTACTGGAATACAATGAATCGAGTTTTTGCAAAAATACAGTAAATTAACTTCTTTTTTTGGAAATACAGTAAATTGAATTTTTCTGAAAATACAGCAAATCGAGCTTTTCTGGGAATATAGTAAATCGAGTTTTTTTACGAAAATACAATAAATCGATTTTTTTGCAAAAATACAGTAAATTGAGTTTTTTGCGGAAATACGGTAAATCGAGATTTTTACAAAAATTCAATAAATCAATATTTTTATCGAAATATAGTAAATTGAGTTTATGCGAAAATACAGTAAATCAAGTTTTTTTACGAAAATACAGTAAGTCGAGTTTTTTTCCAGAACTACATTAAATCGAATTTTTTTTACGGAAATACAGTAAAACTAGTTTTTAGTGAAAATACAATAAATCAAAACTTTTGTGGAAACACAATATTCGAGTTTTTTTATCGAGTTTTTTTTGCAAAATTACCGTAAATCAGGTTTTTTTTACAGAAATATTATAAATTGAGTTTTATTGCAAAAATACAGTAAATTGAGTTTTTTTACGAAAATTTATTAAATTGAGTTTTTGTCAGAAATACAGAAAATCAACTTATTATCGAAAATACAAAAAATCATTTTTTTTGAAAATACAGAATATCGATTTTTTTCAAAAATATAAAAAAAATTAAATAAATATATTTAAATTAAATTTTTGGATGGATGAATATCAATCTATTAAAATATTATTAACAGATGGATTTAATAAATTTTTATCTTTAGAAAATAGATTGGATTGGATATTTTTTCAAAGTTTCAGTGGATTGTTAGACGAATAGGACTATTGAGTGACATTGTTAGATTGTTGGATTGTTGCTTTATCATAGCAAAAGATTTCAGGGAACAAATTTTTAGGGTGTAAAGGATCCATGGAAATGGAAAAGGGGATTAGGTTAAATACTCCGGAGGGAGGCGCCGCTCATTGTTCTTCTGGCTCCAAAAGAAATTCATTTTAATATTTTACTTAAAAGAATTGAAAGTAGTCATAATAGTTTTTTTTTTTTGACGGGTAGTAGTCGTATAGTTAGAAAATCCTTTTAGCTGTCCTTTTATTCTAAACACACCATGACAGCTTGTACATGAAAATTTAAATTTTCACCTCATTTTTTACTAAAAATAATTGAAGGCATTTAATATTACGTTAACTTCAAGAAAGTAGTGCCAAAGAAGGTTAAAGAAGGTAAAGGATGTATTATTTGGTGGGCTATTTTGAGCATAGAAGGAATAGAATAATCTTTTAAGGTGCTGCTTGTAATGTTAATAAGATTGTTTTTGCAATTTTAATGTTGGCTTGAAAATGGAGTGTTATTATATCTCATTGTAATTTTCAAAGATTTTTTTGTTGCTCCTCTTGAATGCCTTAGGTAGTTTTGTCGTCTTGTATCTTTTTGGATCTCTAGTTGAAAGGGTTAGAACACCCCTCATGCTCTAGTTAGTTAGATTTTTCTTTTGCCTAATCAAAAAATATTTTATATCTTTTTTAATTTATTTGAAGGAAAATTTATTAATTGTTATAACTTAAAGAAAGTAGCTGTTTCTTTTATCACATCATTGTGAAATGTTTGTTTTAATTGTTAGATTATATTAAAATAATTATTAGAAAAACATAATTGTTAGACAACAGTTGACTATTTCAAATAAAAATTAATTAAAAAATGAATGCAATTTGTTGGCGAACAGCCGCCAAAGTAGAAATTTTATATTTATTTTTATTATAAAATATTTATATGTGTTGAATTTTTGTAATCCATTAAAATCAGAATAAATGAAATTTTAAGATTTGAACACCGTTTAACTAAATATTTAAATATTAAAAAATTTAGGTGAATTGAACATTAGACTTCATCATAAAAACATGTTTTATTTTATGATTCAACAAGTTTTTACAAAAATTATTAATTAAAAATATTTTTACATTATTAGCGAGTTAAACTCATATTTTTTGGATAGAAATTAATTAGTATATATTATCAATATAAATTTTTTTACACGATTAATATATTATAATTATTTATAAATAAAATTTTATAAATAATTAAAATAAAAAAAATTAATAAATATTTAACGATTATAATTAACTGACACACCCTCGATTAATAGCAATGACGATAATATATATAGATAGATAGAGTTTGTTGATTTTCTATTAATGATATTATAATACATATCAATTAAACCTATAAAAAATTAATAACTAAAATTATTAATTGACACCTAATCACGGACTACAACCACATATGACACATCAAATTATTTTAAAAGGCTCTAAGTCAAATCTGACTGTCTTTTTTCTTTTGTCTCTATCCAAATTTCATATCATACTTATCTATCGTATTGGCCGTTGAATACACGTTATTATACTCTCTTTTTTTTTTCTATTAATCCAAACCCAATTTTAGAATTTTAAATTACTTTCTTAATTTATAATAGATAATTTTAGTATGTATATCTAATAATGTGCGTAACATCAAACAATAAAGACAATAAAATTATTTAAAAAGGAAATGCTAAGGAATGTGAGGGTATTTTTTATGTATTTAAAAAGATAAGTATTTTTTAAAATATGATATTTAATATATTAGAAATTGGAATATATTTAATTTTTTTTAAAATTATTTAAAATTCTTAAAGAGTATTTGAGACACTAAATGCATTGGATCAGTTTTTCTTTTTTTTTCTCTATATTTTCTCCTACTTTGATTTAAATTTTAAAATTTTAATTAATTATTGCTGACGTGTAAACACCTTCATTTCTACCCTCACAAAAAAAAAATGAGTTGACCAATGGGTGATGGATGAATAATATAAATATTAGTCCTTTGAAAACAAATCATTTTATTTATGTGAGTTCATTTTCTTTTTCAGAGAAGAAAAAGTAACACAGAACTGAGAGAGAGAGAGAGAGAGAGTGATGGCTGGTGGAGCATTGACAGATGGAGGACCTGGAAAAAGGGCTCATCTGTATGAACACAAATTCACTATGTATTTTGCATTCACATGTGTTGTTGGTGCTCTTGGTGGTTCTCTTTTTGGTTATGATCTTGGTGTTTCAGGTATATCTTCATTATTCATCCTTTAATTTCATATTCGAATTATCGTTTTCATGATCTTGGTTATTGATTTTCTGTTAGGTTCAGCATAGTTATGACCCGAATTGTATTATGATTTATGATTTCCTTAATATTATTGTTTTTAATAGAAAATTCACGTTCTTGATTTTTATTTTCGGCAAAATGAACCACTAGTACTTGTTGTACATTACGGATTTTTGTGAATGGAGTATATTTTGAGGTACACATGACGTGTTGAATTCATCACTGGTTTTTAAAATGGACAAAATGACAAATATTGCAGTTGTGTGAAAATGTTTTTTTTAGCCATTTCTGCATAAATTAAAATTATGACTACTTTTTAGCTCCACTTTTTTTGGGATATTTTTTATTTTTTATTTTTTTTGAAAAATTTTAGAAAAAAAAATTGATTTTGAGTTAATTGATTATGTAAAGTTGATTTTGAATAGAAGTGATTTTCTGTAAATTTTTAATGTGATTTTTTTATGTAGTAGTAAACTCATAGTTGTTTGGTTCTGCTTCTACTGCTATGAAAAAAAATGATCAAGTAAATTGATTACGGGTGTGTTTGGATTAACGGTAGTAAAATCGAGTTTGATAGAGTTTATTTTAACACAATTGAGTTTGACATAACTGATTTACGTTTAGATACATTTATATAAAAGTGGATTGAATAATAAGTTTCAGTATAAAAATCATTCATAATCAACTCTTGAGCTAGAAGCTACAAATTCTAGCTTCAACTATAATCAATTCTGGAGACGGAATCAATTCTACTTTTTGATAAAACAAACACTTCAAAATCACATTGAATCAATTCTATATGTAAAACTGATTCGGGTTAAAAGGTGATTTCTTTTGTAAATTTTTAGTGTGATTTTATGCAGTAGGAAACTTACCGTTTAAATTTAGCGTTCAAAATCATTAATGACTCCACCTATAATATTTTCCCTTTATAGAGATTCTCTTTTGTTTAGGAAGTTAGTATTACTTATGGCTAATTTAATGCATTAATGATATTCAATTATTGGTATTGAAGTAAGAAATCACACCAGAATTTCATTGGTATTTTGTAAGGTGGTGTGACTTCCATGGACGATTTCTTGAAGAGATTTTTTCCGGACGTGTATACAAAGAAGCAGGCTCATTTGAACGAGACTGACTATTGTAAATATGACAATCAAGTGCTGACGCTTTTTACGTCGTCTCTTTATTTCTCGGCACTTATTATGACTTTTTTTGCTTCTCACTTGACAAGAAATAAAGGGAGAAAGGCCACTATCATAGTAGGAGCTCTAAGCTTTCTTGTTGGAGCAATACTCAATGCAGCTGCTGTGAACATTCCAATGCTAATCATTGGCCGAGTCTTTCTTGGTGGTGGCATTGGCTTTGGAAATCAAGTGAGTGACAGGGATCGGTTACACGGATCAAGCTATTTACATTTGTTTATTTTCTTTCTTACTGTCTTGTCAAATTGTGCAGGCTGTTCCTTTGTATCTATCTGAAATGGCACCAGCTAGCAGCCGAGGAGCAGTAAACCAACTGTTTCAGTTCACAACCTGTGCCGGAATCTTAATTGCAAACTTAGTGAACTATTTCACTAACAAAATCCATCCTCATGGTTGGAGAATATCACTTGGTTTGGCAGGTATTCCAGCAGTTCTTATGCTTCTGGGAGGTATTTTTTGTGCCGAGACGCCTAATAGTCTTGTGGAACAAGGAAGGTTGGATGAAGCAAGAAAAGTGTTGGAGAAAGTTAGAGGTACCAAAAACGTTGATGCTGAATTTGAAGATCTTAAAGATGCAAGTGAATTAGCACAAGCAGTGAAGAGTCCGTTTAAGATACTTCTAAAGAGGAAATACAGACCCCAACTAATAATCGGAGCATTAGGGATTCCAGCATTCCAACAGTTAACAGGAAACAATTCCATCCTCTTCTATGCACCTGTCATCTTTCAGAGTTTAGGATTTGGAGCTAACGCGTCTCTTTTCTCGTCTTTTATTACCAATGGAGCTCTCCTTGTTGCTACTGTCATCTCAATGTTTTTAGTTGACAGGTTTGGTAGAAGAAAATTCTTCCTAGAAGCTGGTTTTGAAATGATATGCTGCATGGTAAACACCGAAACACTACTTGTTTGTTTCTTATCCTTATAATAAATATACATTCATTTTGACTTTGTGATCGATTTGCAGATTATTACTGCTGTGGTTTTGGCGGTAGAGTTCGGACATGGCAAAGAACTTTCAAAAGGCATAAGTACACTTCTTGTTATTGTGATTTTCTTGTTTGTGTTGGCATATGGAAGATCATGGGGTCCCCTAGGATGGTTGGTTCCAAGTGAGCTTTTCCCATTAGAGATAAGATCAGCTGCACAGAGTATTGTGGTTTGTGTCAACATGATCTTCACTGCCCTTGTTGCGCAACTTTTTCTTCTGTCACTTTGTCATCTCAAATATGGAATCTTCTTGCTGTTTGGTGCCTTAATTGTTGTCATGAGTTTATTTGTCTACTTCCTTTTGCCGGAAACCAAGCAAGTTCCTATTGAAGAGATTTATCTTCTTTTCGAAAACCATTGGTTTTGGAAGAACATTGTAAGAGATGGAAAGGACCAAGAACGAGCAGACTATCAATAGGAAAACCAGCTACTTGAAATTCTTGGCAAACTATAGATTGAACAAGTATAGGTTTATCTTTTTTCTTCTTTATCATTTGTTTACCCTTGCAATATAATTATAAATAGATTACAATGTTTCTTTTAAATATTGTTGTTTTTTTAGATGTTTTTGACTATTGTTCAAACTCTTGAAGATTTTTGTTGAATAAAATTACATGTTATTCAATATATCTTTATTTTTTGTGATCCTGTAATTAGAGTTTAAATTCAGTCAACTTTATAAAACCGACGTTTAAAATAAAACTGCTGCAATTAGTCAGAAACAGACCCCAATGAGAGTGAAATTTCAAACCAATATTGTACTCCCTCCATTCTCATTTATAAGAAAATTTTGACTTTTTAGATTCATTAAATAAATTATGTATTTAGACTATATATTGGTTAAATACATCAATTATTCAATGAACTTAAAAACTTAAAATTTTCTTATAAATAGAAATAGAGGGAGTATCTTCTACAGTAGTAATGTTGTATCTTATTTCACACAAAAGCATTTAATAGGTTCACATATAAGGATCAAAAAACGCATTTCAAATTTTGAAAGCAAGAGCACACCATAACTTTTTTTTATGTGACTGAAAACCAAAACCATATTTAAGCCTTTTTTTTTTTTTAATGTATATTTTATACCACTATATTCCATTTCATATCATCCACCAACCATTTCCAATCATTGATGATACCTTAAAATTATATAAAAAACATTAACAAGAAAAAAGGTTGGCCATTAAATATTGGTAAAATTTTAAGATAAGAGTTTAAATACTAGTAGGAAAAGTTGTGCAAAGGACAGACAGAAGAATAAAAAATGACTAAGATTCACTAAATAACATTTGATAAAAAGTAGTAACATTTTACTGTTTACAGATGCACTAAGTAAGATTCAGTTGGCAAAAAAAATGCATCATAATTCCAGAGCGTATCATCTTAGTAGTTTAGCAAGTTCATCAACTCCTAATGTTCCGTGTGGAACAAGATTCATAAATCTCTCATCAAAATTTTCTTTTCTTCGAATTCTAGGACTCTTCTCTCTTTTACCTTTCGTGGTAATGGCAGTAGTTTCTCTTGTCTCCAATGTTGGAGCTTCTTGCTTGTCACTTTTTTGAACCTCAGCAGCAACCTTTCTATGTTTCATAAAAACAGGTCCAGGTGGAGCTGATTTGGCAAAGGAAACTGTGGTTCGATAAATATTGTCTGCATCCAACAAATCTTTATCTAAAACAAGTGCACTGCCTTGCTCAACAGCTTGCTCCAATAGTAGCGAAATTCCTTTGATACAAGGGGCAGCAGACCTTGGCAACAGACTGACATCAGTTGTTCCAGAATCACCTAGCATTGCACCTGATCTTGAAATTGAAGAAGAAAGACTGTCAGTGATGCTTTTGTCGTCCATTATATCCACAGCTCCATGTCTAGCATTCATAGCTTTTGAGGGGCATTCGATGTGGCTACCATCGTGTGATATGGTTGTACCTGGGCTGATGCTCCTATAAGGTTTTGGCTCAACATAGGAATTTGTGGCAACATTTGTGGTTTTAGCGTCGTAGTCTTTTGTGAGTGAAGCTTCGGCTATCACAGCCATATCATCTGAACAAAAGGAAATGCTAGTTTCATGTGATAAATTGCTTGCATGTTCTGTGTTATGATTCTGTAGACTTGGTGCCGAGACACCAAGGGCTTCTGACTCTGGTGTTCTGTAATTTTCATTTCCAACATCAATTTTATTGGCTTCCTTCCGGTCATCTCCAAGATCTGGTAAAGAGGACTTCCAATTCCGTCCTCTCCACATAAGTATATGCTCATTTTCATATGAAATCAAAGTGCACGGAACAAGATCCTACAGTCAGAGAACATATGCAGAAGAAAGGTGTTAAAATAGTGTCCTCATAAATAATAATAACATCGATGAGACATGTCTATCCTATGACCAAAAAACAAAACAGAAAAACAAAAAAAAATCGGCATGCTTTTCAACACTGGATATGAAGTTGTTTATACCCTTAGTTTTGCTCCAATCTTTCGATAGTCACTTTTATTTAGTCCTTGGCAATTTATACGTACTAGCTCACACTCTTCAAATGCCTCTCTAACATTATTTACAAGGTTATAATAAACACCATTTTTTCCTGTTACAAGAAGAAAAAAACCCAGTTATTTAAGCAAGCTTGTGTATCTGAAGAATAAAAAAACAGTCATCTAGATTTAGTTCACTGTTACACTGTAATGAAAATCCTTAAAAAGGTACCTAGCTTGTATATGGGAATCAATGTCCTTCCCTTTTGACGCATTTCAGTTGCTTCTTCTAGCGTTAGACCTTCGGGAACTTGCTGAATCAGTTTTGGATATACTGGAGGCACGGGTTTCCACAGCATGAGAGGAAAACGCGGACGTGTTTTATAATTGTAATTTCTTCCTCGAAAAAGGTAAAGAACACCACCCCTTCTGTAAATGACTTTCCCTCCTGTCTTTTCCTGTCAAACCACATAACATATGACAAGAGGAACATAATAAATAATAAAAGGCAATTATATTTGCAAATTTCCATTTCCTTGCAAATCTAGCATTTCCCAAATCACCCCTCCTCCATTCCATCATCAACACATATGGTAGTGGGTGATTGAGGGATGCGACTTGTGAGATACGTGAGAAAATGATAATAATGAAAAAATAATAATTACCCTACAATCAGCGACAGGAACCAAAGACTTAAGATGTTAATAGGGTCAAAAACACTGAGTCAAAGACTTACTATGTCACAGGCAATAGCCAAAGACATTAGGGAGTAAGAGAAACTTAATCGAGTCTGTTTCAATGAAGAATATATAACAATAGACAAAAGGAATGTAAAGAATAAAGTGCAACTTTGTTTGCATATTTCCTCACAAATCTAGCATTTCCCTAATAACCATCTCCACCTGCTCACCATTCCATCATCAACACCAATGGTAGCGGACGATTAAGGGACGTACTCGTGAGATGTGTGAGGAAATGATTATAGAGAAGTACGAAAAAAAGCATAACCTAAAATAAGTGAAAAAAACTTACTAAGGAGGCGAATAGTCAAAAACACCAAGCCAAAGACTTATGGTCTATTTGTTTTAGATTTTGGCTTTATGAGGGATTTGCAGCTTTTTCTTCCATTTGCAGTGAGACAAATTTCAATCAAACAAGCACAGGTAGCGGCCAAAGACTAGGGAGACAATGAAACTTGACAGAGTTCGATTTCATGAAGAATTACTCAGGGGAGGGGTGACATAGGGGCATGTTAAGGTAAACCATTTAAAGATAATTGAAACAAATCAAGAATATTCAGATCATTAAGAGAAATCAAAGAAAGGAAGTTGGCAATGTACAAAGGAGTGCTCCAAAACATTATCAAAAAAAAAAAAAAGGAATGATTAAGTGTTTCTCCGACATAACATGGCTATGCATATTGCTTTTATCGTTCTATAATTTGATTTTATAAATAGAAAAGGAAGTAAAAGCAAATATTGCGAAGATACGACACATGACTTGCTGAAAGTTTCATCTCAAAAACTTCTCACAGCATATTGTAGTTGTTATCTCTTCAAAAAAGACCTTTTGAATAAAGATAAACCAGTAATAGGCTAAGAGGGAACAAGAAACCAACCTCCAACTGTTGACACACATTATCCATATCAACAGTACACACTCCTATACACTTGATCTTGCACACCCTTCTGCGCTTCCAATGAGCATGTATATTATCCAACATGTTATGTATGAAACCATCTCTACCTAAAACAACAAAATCGAATAAATGCACATATACATACAAACATCAATTAATCATCTTTGCATAAACAACCTTATCACTGGGCATAGAAAGAGCTTTTACAATAAGTTAAGCAAGTGACATTTTCAACTAAAACACACAAGTGTTAATCATATAAGTGCTTGAATTTAAGTTACTTATACAAGAGATAAAATAAAGTAAGTTTAGATAAGTTGTAAGCCGGTTTCATAGTTACTATTATGAAGTGCTTATGGTCCATAAGCTCAAAACAACAGATAAAACATTAAGCAGACAAAAGAGAAGGAAAAATCAAGTACGCACCCAAATTGAGTTGGCGACTAGATTTCAAGCAACTTTGAACCAACTGATTAATCTCATCCTTGGTCAACGGTTCACCCAATATCTCTTCCCTAGACCAAACATACCTAGGAGCAGTCCCCGGCAAATACGGACCTGGAGACTGAACCGGTTTAACTCCCTTCTTATGCGGTGGAGGAAGCACAAACGAATCAAACTCCTTCAACTTCTTCTTACTCGGAGGAAGCGGAGGCCGACCGGTCCACGGTCTCGGCATAGTAGCCGGTCCAAACGGAACAAAAGGCGGCTCACGCATTTTCAATGGCTTCGATTTGGGGGTTTCGGTGTAACTGTACTTGAATTCGAACGGAGCACCTTCGATTACGTATGAGAGTCCGTCGTCGCTGATTTTCACATTGTCGGGAGGTTTGCTGACTGATGTCAGTTTCTGTTTGGGGATGTTGGAAAACTTTAGCGCCGGGTGTGATTGTGGATTCACTTTGGGCTTTACTGGTTTCTTGTTGTTGTGTTCTGCGGTGGATTTGGGTTCCGGGGAGTGGTCGTTGGCGGTGTTGAAGCGGGAGGATTGGAGTTTGTTGGATAGACGTGGGTTCGGGTTCGGGTTCGGGTTCGAGTTCGGGTCAATGGGTGAGGAGAAGATGGGGAAAGTGATTGGGAGTTTCAGAGCCATTGAAAAGCGAAAGTGCTTAGCATTTCTCAGTGAAGTGATGAGATGTGTTGTCGTTTTAGTAATGCTTAGTTGTGTGAATAAGAAATCAAGTTTGTGTTGAAAGAATATGAAAAATAAAAATAAATAAAATGCATAATTTTTAAAACAATTTTTTTTTTTAATTTAACTGTTAACTTATGAGCTCAATTATCATTGTCCTTTAAATTTTACAATTATAATTTTATTTTAGCAAAATAATAAAATTTCATCATCTATATTACTTGTTAAATTATAATTATAATGTTTTGTTTTTTTTGGTTGTGAATCGTCCAATAATGTCCAATAATATCTTACCACCAAACCATTTGTATTACTTGTTAAATATATGCAATACATCTATGATATAGATTCTCATGAAGTACAATAATAAATCTTTCAATTGTATTTTCAATTGTATACTATGTTTATGGAGTTTTAATACTTTTGTTTTTCCAAACTTAATTGTTTTCTTTTTTTTCATGAATGCTGTCTTTTTTTACTGTATCTGTAAATTACATGCTCTGATTCTCATTCTTTCTCTTATCCTTATAAGTTTGACTCAAATAGAATTTTGAATTCTAGATTTTGTTTTCAACGATGGTATTTTTTAAGGTTGAGAATTTGTGCGTTGTTTATTTAATTAAAGTTGTTTTTAAAGTGTTATATTATACTGATAGAAATTACTTGAGAATATTAAATGTAAATTATGAAATAGTAATAGGTCATTTATATAATGTCCGAGTTTTATTTTGAATAAAACAACATAAATTCTATAAATTCCGTTAAAAAAACATAAGTTCAATAAATGTTGAGATTATTTTGTTGAGATTATTCCGTTAAAATAAATAAATGTTCAATAAAAATTCCGCATACACATTTAAGATAAATAAATGTTGAGATTATTTTGTTCAATTAAAAAGCGTGGAACCCGCATCATGAATTGAGAAATGAACGATCTAATTTAAATTTTATGGTTTTGCTGATTTTTACATTTATTGTTATTATTTTATTAAGTAAACAAATATTAGATTTACCATTTGAAAATGATTTAATTCAAATCAAAACAATAAAGGAAAAGTGACCAGAAATTGAACACAATATTTTCAAATCATGTTTGATCTTTTTCTTTTTCAAAATTTAAATTCAGAATTTTAATTTTCTATACATGATTGTATTTGTCTTCTAATGACATTATCATTTTCTACAACCTATTTTAAGCCTACAAACAATTGTCAATCATGCAGTCTTTTAATTCACACCATATACTTACATCTCAATTATGTTAAAATTACTTAAAATGCAATGAATTTTTTTACAATAGTGTAGTTACTTGACCTGGTGATATTATATTTGTATGTTTAATAAATCAATGTCTAAAAATGAAACGAGCTCTAATTATATTTTATAAAAATTATAAAATAAAATTAAACGTTTTTATTTCATTAAATTTTAATATTTTACAGATTAGTAAAACTTTCTGATATATGTTACATTTATTTATTATTTATTTTTAAATTCATAAATGCATAATAATTGATTAGAATAAGAATTAGTTAATGATAAATAGAAATCAATTAATAATTTATTAAATTATATTTTTACTCTTCATTTTGTATTCACGATGAATAATAATTAATTCATAATTGATTAAATTATTTTTATTAAGACCATAATTTGATATGAATTCAATGTGTCATAAGTTATTATTATTATTTCCAATAAAATTATCTCCTAATTCAATATATCATATCAATTTAGGGTCTCATGATTTTATAAAGTTAAATAAAGACTCATCAATTACGTTGGCTTATAGTTGCATTTGATAATAATCTCTTACAAAGATTTTTAAATATATTTATAGTTCTTTTTTTTAATAGACCAAAATATATTAACAAAAAGAGAAAAGACCGAACTAAAACCTCTTAATGGTAAAGTTTAAGTCTAGGGTACCAATTTTGTCTAGCAAGTAATCAAAATTAATGTGTTTGTGGACGTAATTGTATCAAATAATCGCTTTGGATTTTAAACTTATATCCGCGAGAAAATCCGTATAAAAATTGGTTTCTCTAAAAATATGGGTGATCATGAATTCTATAGAAAGGGTATACACCAAACACGTAAGCCAACGAAATTTAATTTTCCACGAAACTAAGTTATGTTTCGAGAACGCTTTGACTACACACATACAATCTGTTTCTAGCCAAAGCTTGGTGTTGTACCCCAAAATTTGCCCTCCCATTTCATCAACATTTTCTCACCACAAGACCTTTGGAGCTCAAGATCCAGTTAGGGTTTGCTCTGCTCAAGACTCCTCCTTGCACTGTTGATCCAAATTAGGGTTTGAGTTTGCACAAAGATGTTTTGACCCAAAAGGCCCAAAGTGACTTTCATGCTTCATGTTGGACCCACAAGTTTATCCATACCAAGTTTCAAGCCTTGATTCCAATCTTTGCCCAGTCAATTGGACAGTTGACCTAGAAATCAGCTGTATTGGGGGAAAAGTCAATTGTGGTCAATTGACAGTCAAACCTCATGAAATTTGACCCACATCAACATTATGAACTCATATGGACCATTTGATCAAGTTTGGATCATAATTCCACAAGAAATTTGATCAGATCACCAAAAGGGCAAAATGGTCATTTTTAGGGTTTTGACTGCACAAAGGCAATTTTTGACTGTTTGACCTAGCCAATGGCAAACCAAACTCACATATGGACTCAAGGACCCAATGGAATTGTCTTGACATGTTCAACAAGTTCAAAAGATCCCAAATGCACAAGATTGACAGATGAATTTTCCAGTCAACTGAGCCAAATTTGACTGTATACTGAAAAGTCAAACTTTGACTTTTTGGTCAAAATCAAGTGTCAAGATTCATTTTTCATCAAAACATGTCAAATTATGAAACTTGTTCATCAAGAATTACAAATTAGGGTTTGAAATGAAGAATTTTCATAACTTAGAATTTTTCTAAGTTATGAAAATTCCTAATTTTTTCCTAACTTTGTCCCATTTTTTCATCAAGATACATTTGGATTCAAGGAAAACTCAAAACATGAAAGTTGTAGTTCATTGCAAAATCTACAACTTTGATTCACAAAGTTTCCTCAAAAGAAGCTTGTAGCTCAAGTTATGATTTTTGGAACAAGGGTGCAAAACATTCTTAACTTAGAAATTTTTTGACCTATTCTAGGCAGGATTTTTGCCTAACTTCATGGCCACTTTTCACATGCTTCCACTTGGAATCTCAATTTTCATTGCAAAGATGGATTGTAGTACACATTCCAAGCTTTCCAAAATGTCCAAGAACTTCTCAAACACCCTCGTGGTTAGGGACAATCGAATTTGTCAATATGGGCAAAAGTCACTTTGTTAATGAGCCATTTCCATGTTCATAACTTTGCATTTTTGAACTCAGCATATTTCAAGCTAGTTACAGGCCTCTAATCTCATTTGCACTCAATAATTAAATGCCAATCCATTGTGTTATAGCATTATATTGCTCATTTGGTCATTACATGAAGAATTAAGCCATAAATGGAAAAAAGCACATTATCCATTCTTGTAAAGTGGCACTTTATGTCAAGTTTGCAATCTATGAGGTACAATGCAGATCTTTGAGGCACAAGTTCAGGAACCAATCCCACTGATCAAGACTAAAAGGTGCAGCATGCTTGAGGGGCCTGTGGGAGCCTAGAAACCAAGTTGACAAACTTTGCTTACATTAGAAGAAACTTGCATTTTGAACAACAACTCACATTTCTGTCAAGACAAGCCTAAGCAAACATTGTGAACATTTTCCAAACATCAAGTCTGACCTAAAACACGAGCCAACCACTTCCAATACCTCCTCAAACACAGAAACACCATCCTCTTGCAAAAATAGGGCACCTGCTGCAGATTGAGGTCCACAACTCAATCCATTCGTGCGCCTTGACCAAAACCAGTTCAAACACACTCCATACCACCCATACAAACTATCCTAAGCATTGGATACGAACTGTAACATCCTTAACATCATTTGCCATTTTCACTTTTCTCTCTTACAGGTTGACTTCTATAGCTTGATTCAGCAAGATTCAAAGCAAGCTAAGCATAGAGGAAGCATCCCTGGACCTCAAGCAAGCTGTACAAGTCCTCACATTGCACTGAAAGTACCTCCATTGTCATACACGAATCAAGCTGAACAGGTAAGTTTTTGAACTTCTATCTCTCTATCCAGGCATAGTTATGCTTAAGTTTGTGAAGAAAACATGTTCTAATCATAGCCCTGAAGCCATCCATATAGTTACTTTTCATTTATATTGTGTGTGCTAAGAGTATTTGGAACCTGAACATTAGGAAAAAGTTAGGTCAGGAATTGGGGGAGAAGAAATTCTCTCTCATTTCTGAGAGTTAGATCAAGTTCTTGGTATGTATGGATTCGTGATTTGATGCTTGACATTTTTTGTGTTATAAGTTTTGCTTGAAAGTCCAAGAATCAGGATGTTTGAATCAGCTTGAGAAACGCGCGTTTTTGAAACAAACTGGCTGGAGGTTGAAGAAGATAGACTTGGGTTGGGCCTGAGTTTTGTTTTCCTTTTTGCACCACTTTATTTCACATGCACCCCCTTGGCCCATTGTGTTATTTTTTAATCATTTTTGACTTTTCCTTTTTTATTCTGACTTGTTATTTTTTGACAAAACATAAAAAATATTAAAAACATTTTTTCAACTATTTTTGCATTTTATTTGAATTTTATTTGTTTTATTTGAAGTTTATATATATAAATAACATATATATCCTTTTATTTAAAATACTAAAAATAATACAAATACATTTTTATTTTCTGATTTTATTTTATTTTATCTTTTGAAAACATTTTATAAAAAATATACTTTTTTTTTGTAAAATAATAAATATTTTTATTTTTGTACATATTTAATATATTTAGTAAATAATATAAATACTTATATATTTATTAGAATATTTAGGATAA